GCCGGAGCTTCAACCTCTTCGTCGGCCCCGCCGGGTCAGGATTTTGCATTTGGCATGGTAGTTCCTTCTCACTCTCTGGCTTCCGCCCTCCCGGCTCCTCCCTCAGGTAGGCCCTACATTACCCAAGCCGCTAACATCTCCTCACGGCTCAGAGCAAAAATCCTCGACGGGAAAGACATTAATTTGTTTAGCCTTATTCTGCCTTCCCCGGAGTGCGACAAAGCCATCGTCACGGGAGGAAGCATTACTGCGGTATTTAAATCCGCAGACCCCCGGCTCCTCAAAGACCTTTCTATAGGGCAATTTCTGGTAGCTTTTAGCATCTTCCGCGATGTCCTCTGCGCAGTTTACCCCGGAAGGAGAGTGGAGTTAGATGCTTATCTGGCCATGATTGGCGATCTTCACATCAAATACGGGAAATCAGTGTTCTATCAATACCATAAAAGCTTCTCTAGCAAAGCAGCGCTACACTTAGCTCATTGTAACATCCGCCTGGACTGGTCCGTGCTGGATACCGAGCTGCTCGTAATGGCTACCGGCGGGCAACAAGTCGTCTCGTGCATTAGCTGCGGAGCGCAGGGCCACACCTCTCCGCTCTGCCCTTCAGTGCCTCTCTCCGGGTCTAGCGTTTTCCCCACGCAGTATTCCGGGAACAATAAACCAAACCGTCAGGTGATCAAGCAAAGGGATAATAAGATCTGCGTTTATTTTAATGAGAACGTGTGTTCTTACCCTTATTGTACTTTTCTTCACATTTGCAGTACATGCAGGGATGCTCACCCGAGTTCAGTTTGCCCCAGGCGCCGGCCCCCTTTCCCGCGCCAGAATCAACGTGGTGGAAAAACCTTCTAAAACATCACCCCTCAACTCCCATTAACACCACACACTTAGCAGCTGCGCTTTCGACTCACCCAAATCCCGTGTTCGTTGATTATCCTTTGTCAGGGCTCTCTCAAGGGTTCAGGGTAGGGGTCCTTTCTCCCCCCTCAGTGACTTTAGTGGCAAAAAACCTGCAGTCAGCCGCCAAAGAACCCACCGTAGTCTCTCAGCTCATTCAAAAAGAGCTCAACAAAGGATATTTAATCGGTCCTTTCCATTCCTCTCCGTTCCCAGTGTTCCGGACAAGCCCAATAGGGGTCGCTACACGCAAATACTCAGAGAAGAAAAGGCTAATTTTCGATCTGTCCGCTCCTCGCGCTGGTCCGTTTTGCAGCATCAATAGCCTTATTCCCCCAGAGTATTTTTCGCTTCATTACACTTCAGTCGATAATGCCATCAAGCTTATCAAATTCGCAGGGCAAGGAGCGTGGCTCTCCAAAGCAGACATCACCGACGCGTTCAAAATAATTCCCATTCACCCATCTCAGTGGCACATGTTCGGTATCAGGTGGGAGTCCAAATTCTACTTCGCTGTCCGTTTAACCTTCGGGTGCAGAAGTAGCCCTTGCATCTTTAATTATTTTTCCGAAGCCCTCTGCTGGATCCTCCTGAACATCGTCAGAATCCCCTCCGTCCTTCACTTATTGGACGATTTCCTCCTCATAGATCCCCCTCGGGACAACTCAAGCGCCTCTTTAGCTAAACTCAAACTATGCTTTCAGGAGTTAGGCGTTCCCCTCTCAGAAGAGAAAACGCTAGGTCCCACCACACGCCTGGAGTTTTTGGGCATTACACTCGACTCTGTAGACATGGAAGCGTCTCTCCCCACGGACAAACTGCAGCACATTCGCGACATCTCAAAAGCCTTCTGCGAGCAACAAGTTATCACCAAGCAGCAGCTGCTCTCCCTGCTCGGACACCTCAACTTCGCCATGCGTATCATCCCTCAGGGGCGCTCTTTTATTTCCCGGCTCCTGGATACAGCGTCGGCTGCAGAAAACCTCCATGGCCACGTCTTCCTAGATGAAGGCTGCCGCTCAGACCTGCGGTTTTGGTCCCTCCTGCTTGCACACTGGAATGGCGTCACCTTCTTCTACGACGACCTCGTGTACTCCTCCGACTCCATGAGATTCTTCACGGACGCTGCCCCATCCGTGGGTTTTGGGGGTTTCTTCCAGGGAGAGTGGTTCGCAGGCTCGTGGCCTCCGTCATTCCCCAGCCATGCCTCTTCCTCCGCTCTGCATGAGGTCTTTCCGATCGCTGTTGCCTGCCACGTGTGGGGTCACCTCTGGCCCCGGAAGCGGATCTCAGTACTCTGTGACAACCAATCAGTGGTCGGGATTATTAATAAAGCGCGCTCCCCGTGCCGCGACATCATGCCGTTCATGAGAAGCATCACGTGGTCTTCTATCACCCACAACTTCCTCATCTCCGCTCGTCACGTTCCCGGCCACCTTAAAGAGCCTGTGACAGCATCCCAACAACTGTTGTGCAATGAAATATTGGGCTACTAGTAATCTCGAACCGTCAGTTTAAAAAATAAAAAGCGATACCGTTTCGTTAAATATCAATAATTTCGAACATCGCGGGAAATTCCTTCGACTCATTTTGAAGTTTTGGGGGAAGCCGGAAGTGACGTCAATGCGGGAACGCTTCACTGTGCGGCGAGAGAGCCAAACACGGACAAAGTGTGTTGTCATGCGTAGAAATGGTGAATTACTGAGTTGAGGCACGTTAATAACGTTTTAATGAAGTTGACTACAGTATATTCATGTTTGTCAGTGCTTTCATGTCAATTCGGCGAACATAAACATAAATGATCGTGGTGAAGATGATGATTACATTAGGATTAAAAATCAGTAGTGAGAGCTACTGAATTTCCTCCCGTAGGATGTGATATAAAAACAAATCGATTATTTTTGTAGTTGTAAACTCAAGTGGATGAAACTACATGTATTAGTGCTTTCGTGTCAATTCGGCGAACATATGATAGATTAAATGATCGTGAGAATGATGATTAAAAATAGTTTGTTTGTGCCGGTCTGCATTTCCTGATGAGAAAACAAACCGATGCTTTTTGTAGTTGTAGTACACCAACATGGATTAAACGTGTGTTTTTTTCACCACAATGTTGGGGAAATTAATGGATAAAATGCACGGATTATTATTATTATTATTCCCACTCCGATCGGGACACTAGGTACACCGTTTCCCCGCAGCGAGGCTCCCCCCGTTGACAGTTTACGTGGGCTGGGTGCAGTCGCGGACTGGCCATCGGGACGAATCCCGATGGGCCGGTACCGAAGTGGGCCGGTCGGATAAATCACTAGCACATCCCCCATAGGCGGCGCGTGAGGCTCAGGTTTGGGAAGGCTAAATAACTTTTTTTATGCCTCCGGCGTCTATAGAAAAGAGATCAACTCAGTGTGCAGAGTTTAAATCTCTCAAGTCATATTACAGGATAAAGGAAATACAGTTTAAACTGCCGTAGGCCTATGCAGAGAAGACGCCGACGTGTCGCACTTATCATTCATATTACATCATCAATCAGATCATCGATCATATAATATCATAATATATCATATATTTCCTTATCTGCCGTATCTGGCCGTGCAACACCAGTGTGCGAAAAAGTGCACGTCCCACCGTCCGGGACGGGTTATTCACAACATTGGACAAGTAGATTTTTAAATTGACTTGTCCAATGGACAAGTGACATTTTTCGCTGCTATTTATTGACAAATTATTGATAAATTCAGCTTACAAAAGGCATAACTCATTCGCAAATTGTCCGTGTCCGCCGTTGTTGTTTGCAACCGCTTTACGTTTTTTTACTCACTTACGTCGTGTCGTAAAACTGTGTGAAAATGAAATACGATGGCGAAGAAGAAGGTTCTAGTGGCCCCAAGAGGGCAACAAAAGATTTCTTTCTTTTCTAAGAAGGTTTGTACACATCATTCTCACAGTTGTAAAATGGTGTGTTACATTAACAAGGAAAATAATTGAAATAAATTATGTCCGAAAATAGTGGATTAAGTGCTTGAAAGGGGACTTTTATTAATCCATTACATTACATTGCATTTAGCTGACACTTTTATCCAAAGCGATTTACAATCCCTGTGGGGAAATTCAGTAGGCAACAGGGTAAGGGTGAAAAACAGGACAGCACAGATTCACACAGGTTCATCAAATCAAAAATAAAATGGAAGATAAAAATAAAAATAATGAAAAACTATTAAATAAGAAATTAATAAAAATAATAATAAAAAAGGGGTAGACCTATGTAAAATACTTTTTTCTTTTAAAAGGGGGGGATTGAAAGGGGCTCTTTACGTACCAAGGGGCTTGAAAGGGGCATATCAAATTATTTCAGAAAAAAACCCCAAAAAATGCAGAAAGGTTTGTGGGGAGTCTACGAGTACCTAACATTCATGTTGACAAAAATCTATAATTTGTCTGCAAGAACAGGAGTCTGAACAACAGCCTGAACATGCTGAAACGAGCCCTCAGAAAGTCCCAGAGTGTGAGCAGAACGATGGCCCCCCCAGTCACGAGAAAGTCTCTGCTAAAAGGCCATGTTCCGTTATCTCACCAATGGCTGGTCCATCTAAAAAGGCCAAGAGTGACATCGCCCTGACACCCAAGAGGAAAAGAACATTCATTGAGACTTGGAAAACCCAGTTTCCATGGGTAAGATGTGTGGACGACATCATGTTCTGTGAGGTCTGCAGAGAATATCCATCCATTGCTGACCACAGCAGTAAACTGTACGAGGGTGTCACAGGGTCAAAACGCATTGAGACACTTCAGTCACACGAATCCAGCAAATATCACCTTCTCTGCATTCAAAGGAAAGAGGTCACAGAGAAAGGCACAGGGCCAATGTTTGTGGCTCTCAAGAAGCAGGCAGAAAATATGGACGACCAACTGAAACCCATGTTCAACACTGCGTTTTATGTCGCCAAACAAAAGTTGCCTTTCCGTTCATTTGAGGGCCTCATCGAACTTCAAGAGAAGAATGGCATTAAAATGCCTACACAGTACCGGAACGATAAGGGGTGCAAGGCATTTGTGCAGGCCATTGCAGAAGTCGAGAAGGACAGAGTTTCTGAAGACTTCAAGATTCTTCGCTCTGATGGGAGATGGATCCACGGATATATCTGTGACAGAACAGGAGAATGTATATGTTAGGTAATTATTATTTTGAATTCTTTTGTAAGTCTTATTTAAGTTACATTTTATCTCCAAAAGGGCCTTTTGTTTATGAGTAATTAATTCACAATCATTTTATTGATGAATTTTATTAGTTTAAATTTTCAGTTAACTTAAAAGTTTTTAACAGGTAAAGTATATACATAAATTGTTTAAAGCGAATGAAGGTGAAGTTGCTTTTTAGTGTTCTTAGTCTTAAAAAAAGGTGAAGGCAACACTGGTGTGGGAAGGTTTATATAAGATAATCATTTAAAAAAATGTTATTGCACTTTATTGATGTACTTTATTTATTTTCTATCTTCAGGTATGTCAAAGATGGACTTCCAGCGACAGAGTTCATTGACATCATGGCTGTAAAGTCAGCTGATGCTAATGGTGTTCTGGCAGCTCTCCTCGAGGCACTACATCATGTCGACCTAACAGATGGAGACATAAAGAAGAAAATAATAGGCTGCACATTTGATGGTGCCAGCGTTAACCAAGGTGCCAAGGGAGGAGTTATTGTGAAGTTGCGGGAATTGTTGGGGCATGTGCTCATTTCGATTTGGTGTGCTCCACATAAGCTGGAGCTGTCGCTCCTAGATGCCACCAAAGCCACTGACTTCATTGACATCGTAGAGAAAGGAGTGGACCCCATCTACAGATTCTACTATGGATCTGGTAAACGTAGGAGGGAGGTGAACGCCATATCAGCCGTTATAGACGAGGATCCTGTCTATTTCTCAGCACCCTGTGGCACTAGGTGGATGGCGTCAAGACTCCGGGCATACAAGGCTGTAATAAAAAATTACAACTCCGTCATCCTACACATGGAAGAGGCTTCAAACAGAAAAACAGACGAAGGAGCTAAGTGTGTGGGGTACTTGAAGGTACTGAAGTCTGCAAAGTTTGTTGATGGGCTCCACTTTATGGTAGATGTCTTGGAAGTGTTGGCCAACGTGAGTCTGGCATTCCAGAGTAATGATCTGTTCATTTATGATGTTGATGTAAAGTTGTGTGAGGCCAGGATCAAGTTGGAAGGCCTTAAGCATAATAGAGGTGATGTCTACACTGCCTACATGGCAACCTGCAAGGATGGCAAGTTTGACAGTAAGAGCAATGGACACATCACTTCACTGAAAGGAACAGGTATTCCAGAAACAGTGAAGAATTCCTTCTTGGAGAATTGTGTGAAGTTCCTAGAGAAGAGATTTTCCTTCCTGAAGGATACCCCTTTCAGTGATTTCCATGTTCTGTTGGAGTTTTGAGGTTTTTACAACCCCACTCGGCTCCGCGTGTCGTTTTGACGAGTCCTGCTTAAAATCATAACAGGAAGGAAATCAGACAGAGAACACCCAGATACCAGTTTAAACAATCTGTTTTAATTATCAAAGGTAATAATGCAATGCACTATAATACATTACAACACCATATAATACAATATACTAAAATCATATTGTAATGTTTTAAGAAGTAGCCGGCCACTTCTGCCCTGGTTCGCGTGCTGCGGAGATCCTTCCGGTCCTGACAGCATGTGAAGAGAGGCCGAACTCAGGAATCAACAGAATATATACCAGAAGACAGAAGGAAGGGGTGAGGTCAGCTGGTCATCTTTTCAGGTCCTCTCATTGGCAGACGCAAAATATGCTTTGTCACAATGACCCAGCGCTGGCCAGCAGAAAACCAAACGGGCCCATTTTACAACAAAACACATCTTATCACCCAAGTCATGTGTTTCTTTATGAAAGCCATACTTGTTGGGAATATAACAGTCATTATCCCATGACATCCTCAGAACTAGCTCACCAACAAGCCTAACTGTCTTCATACCCCCCCAATCATCTCTGAACTTTTATTCACCCGAAGTAAGCTCACCCTTAGTCTAAAAGGACCATTGTCTCTCTTAACTGTGTGACTAAATTCTCAAGGCCTGCAGGATGCGCATAATTAACTTAGAACGAATTTAGCCACTATATCTAATGGTTAACCAAGAAAAACACTCAAAAGGGTAATCTTTTCACTCAAAACAGAATTCACAAGTAATTCTGCATTTTACCCCTCAAAAATAGCCTTTTGATGAAAAGGGTATAAGTGAAAGAAAAAGACTATTGCGCTAATCTACTTTAAAGAAAAAGGGAACATTGTTTCAGGAATCTATAAAAAACCTCTCTATATTTAAGAGGAAAAATGTATTTTGTTCCTTCAACTATTAATACACAGGAATGTATATACCCACACATATATTTAGGGATAACATGATGCAATACACCTCTTATATATTGGTGAGATTAAAATGAATATACCAAAAATATGCTGCATCACATCTTCTGCACAATACTCTTCATAAACTTCCGCAATTCCCCCTTTTGCACTCTTTTAAAAGAGTGCAATTTACACAAGGCACTTGAAACATATACCCACTGTCATTCTTTTCTACTGTGTCCGTCCCCCAAACATTGTATAAATCCATCCGAAGCTGGTATTTAGAGTACTTGAAACCTTCATGGAGACAGAACACCACTTTCCATGGCAGTGAAGGAACCATGAGGGGGCAGCTGGGTGCTAGTGCAGTCTCCTTGTGTGGTGAATCATCAGCCCCCCCCCCTCAGAGGAATACGCCAACAAGGGGCAGCTGATAGGGAGGGGGAGATGCGGCTAGCCCTTCACGGGTGGAACTGATCAGAGAAGTAGACTCCTCTGCTGCCTCGACAAGTCCCCTGTGCCGTCCTGGCTTGCCGTGTCTTTGTCCCCCTGATCCGCTGACAGCAGCTTCTGGGCTGCCTGCTAGAGAGATGTCTTCCTCCTCCTCCTCCTCCGGCCCGCCGATGGCGGCTTCCGGGTCGATGCTGGAGAGATGTCTTCCCGATTCTCCTTCTCCGGCCCGCTGATGATGCCTCCCGGGTCGACTGCCTTGACGAGGGCCAGGTCTGTCCTGATGTCGTCTAGGGTCCTCGCAGGTGTTTTCCCGACCGCACACTGGCTCCAGTGGTACCAGTTGTCCCCCTTTCCTTCTAGGCGGACGGCATGGGATGTCCTCTGGGTCACTCGGTCGGGGCCGGAGAGCCTGGGGTTGAGCCACTTGGTCCTGATGACTTTCAGCCAGACGAACACCGCTGTGTCGGCCTCGTGCTTCTCGGGTCCCCCTTTTGGCGGCAGCAACCTGTGTGGAGAAATCTGATACAACTCCCTCAAGCCTACGCTCAGCTGTTTTGACCCACTTGGAGCCTGTTGGTGGGGTGTCTTGAAACAACAGCCGTCTGTGAACAGGTTTTCTAAATTAATTGTAGACCTCCTATCTGCCAGTACAGCTTCAGAATCTTAGTACTTGGATTGTGCCAACTAAATAAGAACCTCAACATCTTTAGGTAAACTAAATAACATATTTCAATAGCTCTGAATTTCTGACAAGCATCTGTGTTTATTTTTAAATGAAATCCTTGAGATCCTATTTAAAATCTAAATATAATATGAACTGCTAATGTTTCTGGTAAAGAAACACACTAATGTTATGGATTCAAAAACAACCAAAATCATGATACTAACAAAGTGAATGATTTCCTGGTGATACTGCTTTTACCTGTCAGTGCTTAGATATTATCACGCTGAAAGAATGAATACAGAATTCCAACAAACTGTCATCAAATGTCTTAGAAATTTAGATGAAATGTATATCCTCATAATGACCTAAACAATAAAGTCTATGGCTTTTACTTCTTTACCAGGCTAGTTACATGATGTTGTCTAAATTAAATTCTGTCATTACATTACTATGTTTTAGCTTTAATTGTAATATGTTCTTTCTACATTTCAAACCTCAGTTACTTTTATACCTGTTGAAACATTACTCACAGGTCAACTTCTTCCGTATTCCATTCTGGAGTTACATCTCTCACAGTAGCCCCTTGGCCACTGATTCTGCATCTGTGTTACCTGTTATAACTCAATCAATATTAGAGACATGTCAACATTCATCAAACAGTATCTTATCCCCAGATATGGAGCAGGTCAATTCTAAAACTGTCAATCAATGGTCAGATTGAACAATCGAGTTGGGGCAGCCGTACACTCCCCCTTTTTACACATGACTCATGTGTAACCAAAATCCTGTATGGGAAGAAAACCTTCAGGTAATAATGGATTCTAAGAAAATATCAAACATTTTTTCCCAAATGTACATCCATCATTTCCACAGTAAACACTCCAGTGAAATGAAGTGTTTCTCTCCATCCTTCAGTCCTAAAAGAAACAGAATCTTCATGTTTTAGTTTGAGTTCCTCATTCTGCAAACTGCCACCTCCTGTGGGAGTGCACAAGTGCGGTTTTCCAATTCTGTGGAATGTTATTGAGGCCCAGAAAAATGTGTTAGTCCAAAAACATGCTTGATTAGTCATTGTTTTAAATCATGCAGTTGCACTGATCACATGCAGACATACACTCACATTCACACTCACACTGTCAGGTTGTAAAGTCAAGTTTGGTCAGGTCCACCCCAGAGTCAGTCATTCACAGTGCCTTGTCAAGTTACACTGTCGGTCAGGGTCAAAGGTCAGTTGGTCTCAGTCTTTTTTGGCCATGTGTCGTGCTCTGCAGAGACTTTGACATTTCAGCATAGGCCAGTATCCTTTGTCTACACAAATATGTATATATGGAGCGCCATCATTTATTAATTCACAATTACAACTATAATGTTCAAGATATCTCTAACTTTTCATTGAGACAGCTGCTTCCCACATTCCCCGAAAAGTGTTTAGCCAAAAAATGTCACTTCCTTATTGTACTACTACTGCAGTTTATCAACACCTAATCTATATTCAAATGTCTAATAGATCTATTTCAGAAACTTCTGCACATAATTATTATCTTGAGTCAAACCATTACTAGGATCTGTAAAGCTCTGCTATGTATTTCATAACTCATATTCATTTATCTTCAAATCTGGTCCACTTAAAGAACAATGTTAACCTCTTTAACAGTGCGTGGAACCTTGGGTGTCCGAATATGTAACAATCACTCCTTCCTTTATCAAGGATTCTAAAAACAGAAGTCATTTCATCAATGGTTTGTAGCCAAATTCAGGAATTATCACTTATGGTAGGTATGTTTTTACTCTTTAACATCTCTAAATGTCAGTTAATTACTAACTAAATTAATGTCCATTAGGAGGTGGTGACGCTAGTCTTCCAAACTCATAATCTGGTGCCGTGCGCTTCCTGTGAAGCTGCATAAGATTTTAAAAACCACTGCAGGGTGGGTCGAGTGACCCCTCCTCCCTATTAGTCGTCAATAATATGCACCATTACAATGGGTGATTGAAGGCCTCACATTATGTCCAATTACAGCATCAGTCTTCTTTACTCTAAAATTACTTTTTAAATAGGAATATTTAGAAATGGAACAAATATTCAATCTTCAGAAAAGTTCTTAACCAATGTCTATCTAGTGAATAGCCAACATATTTGAAAATGTCAGATGTATAAAAATAAGCCTAAATACTCCCTTACCATCAAAGTCCAAATCTAGACATAAGGTGAACAGTCTTGGTAATGGACAATTTAACCTAAAAACAAAACAAAATTGGACTTGTGTCCTTGTTATTTGTTCTTCAAAATACATTAGCAAATACCTTGTGAAGTATTCGCAACATAACCAACCTTCTCTAGGATATAAAATCCATTCATCTTTTTACTCATAGTTAGTTTATATGTCAAGATTATTAGGTGTGACCTAATAATCAGATGTGTTGTTTGTTAAACAAGGATATTAAACTTTAATCTTTTCAGTATTCCAGACCATCGTTTAAACAATCAGCCTCCCTTCTCAAACACTAAACCTATTGTTGTACACCACCCTCTGGAAAACTCTTGCACAGTTATGCTGTAAAATCATCGCATAATTTCTTCAGAGTCTGAACAATCTGAGACAAGCCTGTCTCAGAACTTGTCATAATGTGAACAGTCAGTGATGCGTTGTCTTCTGCAGCTGTAGTGAATTGGATCAATGAAACTCTTGTTTGGCACTGGGATGTCCTGAGGGGGAAGGAACCTCTGGATCAATGTGGTACAATCAGCAGACACACGTTGTCCTCTGCACAGCAGGAATCCCCAAAAACTGCAGTTCCTCTTCACACCACTGTTGCCTCGGCAACAAGGCCCAAGCAAAATGTCAAACCCTCCTCAGAGATGCGTTCTTTGCACAGTTCTTCTGTTTCTGTAGTGAGCAACTCTTCACCAACACACTGATTCAGAGTACAACCCAAAGGTGGCGCACAACTATCCAGTGCTGCTATAATCACAGCAAATCAGCAACTGGAGAAAAACTCAATTTAAATCTCTCCCCCCAAAGGGTTACAAAATAAAACGGCTGAATGTCTATATGGTCAGGAATGCTGAAACATGTGAATGTTAAAACAAACCAATGGCAGTAGTCTACCCAGATTATTTACTCCATTAAAAGTAGTAAAACCACATCGTAAAATATCTTGTCTAGTTGAAGTCCTGCTTCTAAAATTCTAGTCAGAAAAAAATAAAATAAACTTCATCTTTAAAATCTTTTTTTAATTTGAAACCAAAAAAGGTCTTCCTTCTCCACCATGATCCTATCTTTACCTCAAAGTCCAAACAAACTGATGATTTATCTTTAAAAACCATGAGGAATGACAGTTCTCATAAAACACTATTCTTCCTTACTTGATTTCCAAATCAAATGAGCAAAACAGGAAAACCTCCTTAACCACTTGCCTATTCTATTATTTTTCAAATTGTTTATCTAAGTTGTGTTACAAGCAGGTTAGATTTGTAACAGAATACAAAACTAACTGTATTTAGCGCTATATTTGAAAAACAAGTAATCTGATTACAGTTACTGAATATATATTTTGAACAGTTATTATTGGTGGAAAAGTTTCCTCACAAAATGTAATTTCCATTACTAAAGCTAAAACCTAAAGAAATCATCGCGGAACAGTTTTCTGTCCTTACCACTTAATTGTTTCAATACAAACTAAAAAGCGTTGTGAAAACTCCCACTCTTGAGAACATCTCAACACTTTATTCCATCTGAGCACGAATGTTTATGACAGACACGCCCTATTAATCCAAAACGGCCTTTAATGGTATCAATTGTGAACTTTCTTAATATGAATTGTAAATGCAACGTATGTTCTCTTTGGAACACAGATAGGACAGTAGCTGCTGAAACTGGTTAATAGCAGCTTTCTGTTAACCTAGATAAGCATGTTGTTCTTATATTTTTACTTCATGTTTACTCACAAAACAATATAACATTCTTCAGACTAGTAGTTAACTTTATATAAGTTGTACTCTCTCTGAACTCTTCAAAACATCTACTTCTCCTGTCTCTCTCTCTCTGTGCCCTGCAGCTGCTCCTGCACAAGCTTCTCTCATCAATCACCTCTCTGTGTTTAGCCAACAGTGTGCTTTTAGCCTCGTGCAGCACCTCTGTCATGTTTAAACATGAACAGATCCCTCCTGTTTACTTACTCTTTCTTCATAAACACAATTAATGTCTACTAATGATATTACAAAAACTACCTAATGACAAATAGCACAAAATTCACAATGCAATGCAATAGTAACAATCAGTTCTCAAAACTTCTCATGAAAACCACAATGTGACGTAACTGCATCCCACAAAAACTATGCTAAAAACGACAAATTATAGTTTCTTATTTATTTAAATATCTACGACACATTGATCTATTAATTTTCAATGTTATTCACTCCAACTTCAGACCAGTCGTTGATTATTCACTCCTTGTTTTAAATTCAACGCTCAGCAGCCATTTTTGAGGCATTTTGAGAAGAAGCACAAGCAGTCACACTTCTGGCTGCTGCTTCAGCAATTAGAGGAAAGCTGTGAAGAAAAAGGGGGGCTTTCTTTAACCCCTGGTGACCACGCATTTCTTTATCTGACTTTTCTCCCTTATCTATTAGTAATTATTCCCCGTACAGTCTATCCAGCTTTATGGTGCGATGTTTATTTCAACAGATAACATAATCTCTTTATCGTCACCTTTGGCTAGATAGATTAACCCCACAGAACAAGAGAACGAGATTCCGGTCCTTTCAAAATGGTTTTTTGAAATTTGCGTATCTCCCCTTGGATTCACTTATAATGCAACTGCAGCTCCTATGAGACTGGAAAGCATTATTCAATTTAGTTCTGGATGGAATCATTAGAAACCACTGGATGGAATCATTAGAAACCACTGAACGCCCCCGACGAGTTAGCCGTGTCGAGTTCTGAAAAAAACGCACGGGGCCTTTCACCTTCTTCTTACAGTCCTCATCGCTTCACATGGAGCTAACGAGTTAGTCGTGCGATTCTGAAAAATCCACGAGGTTCCTAACCGTTGCTTTATTAATCTTATTATTCTTAGTTAGTTACCTACCTATGCTAAAATATGCATTGCATTATCTTTAGCATGAAGACTAGACACTGAGAAATATTCCTGACAACTCTAAAAAATTTGAATATAGCCAAATCACAGATTTTGAGTGTAACGGGTATCCGTGCTTACCTGATATTTTGTATAGAGCTCTGTTTTTAGTTGTCAGAAAGTATTTCGAGGTGTCACCCCTGGACAGCTTCGTCCGCTGGCTGCTGATGTGACTCCCGCTGAACGCCCACTCGTAAACGTCGGGGTCACCACTTGTTGGAGTTTTGAGGTTTTTACAACCCCACTCGGCTCCGCGTGTCGTTTTGACGAGTCCTGCTTAAAATCATAACAGGAAGGAAATCAGACAGAGAACACCCAGATACCAGTTTAAACAATCTGTTTTAATTATCAAAGGTAATAATGCAATGCACTATAATACATTACAACACCATATAATACAATATACTAAAATCATATTGTAATGTTTTAAGAAGTAGCCGGCCACTTCTGCCCTGGTTCGCGTGCTGCGGAGATCCTTCCGGTCCTGACAGCATGTGAAGAGAGGCCGAACTCAGGAATCAACAGAATATATACCAGAAGACAGAAGGAAGGGGTGAGGTCAGCTGGTCATCTTTTCAGGTCCTCTCATTGGCAGACGCAAAATATGCTTTGTCACAATGACCCAGCGCTGGCCAGCAGAAAACCAAACGGGCCCATTTTACAACAAAACACATCTTATCACCCAAGTCATGTGTTTCTTTATGAAAGCCATACTTGTTGGGAATATAACAGTCATTATCCCATGACATCCTCAGAACTAGCTCACCAACAAGCCTAACTGTCTTCATACCCCCCCAATCATCTCTGAACTTTTATTCACCCGAAGTAAGCTCACCCTTAGTCTAAAAGGACCATTGTCTCTCTTAACTGTGTGACTAAATTCTCAAGGCCTGCAGGATGCGCATAATTAACTTAGAACGAATTTAGCCACTATATCTAATGGTTAACCAAGAAAAACACTCAAAAGGGTAATCTTTTCACTCAAAACAGAACTCACAAGTAATTCTGCATTTTACCCCTCAAAAATAGCCTTTTGATGAAAAGGGTATAAGTGAAAGAAAAAGACTATTGCGCTAATCTACTTTAAAGAAAAAGGGAACATTGTTTCAGGAATCTATAAAAAACCTCTCTATATTTAAGAGGACAAATGTATTTTGTTCCTTCAACTATTAATACACAGGAATGTATATACCCACACATATATTTAGGGATAACATGATGCAATACACCTCTTATATATTGGTGAGATTAAAATGAATATACCAAAAATATGCTGCATCACATCTTCTGCACAATACTCTTCATAAACTTCCGCAGTTCTTGACCCCAGGAACGTCCCAAGATCAGACGCACAACTAGCTACATATGGTGATGTTCAGGTTATGAACATGGTGACCCACTTCGAGTCCGTTCTCAGTGAGGAGGAGGTAACCAACATCCCTAGACAGTGGCCAGCTCTCAAGGCCAGACTGAAGTACAGGCAGAGGCAGCCCGCCAAGGAGGTCATAAGTGACCTTCTCACTGAGAACCACCCAGATGTGAAGGACGTCCTGGTTCTGGTGTACATGATGGTCACCCTTTCTCCCTCCTCTGCTGCCGTGGAGCGTGGATTTTCCCTCATGAACCTCATAAAAACATCCAGAAAATCCCAGATGACCAATGAAACTCTGGGGTCACTCATGAGGGTCAGCCACATCACCACCACAGTGGCAGAGTTTGACCCAGAGCCAGCCATCCAGAAATGGAAAACATCTGCTAAGACCAAGAGGTATGTCAAAGCTGCCCCAAAGCCTGCTGCAGTGAACAGCAACTTACCTGTGCCTGTTGCCCCATAGCTCGGTGTGAGGAGAACCACTGGAGTGCTGCCCCACAGTTCGGGAGACAGCTGCAGTGAACAACCACCCTGAGCCTGAAGCCATACCTTTCTGCTAGCATGTCTACTAGTCCCACAGAGGAGAAAACATTATATTGTTAGTACTTAGTTGTTTTATCTTATTATTTTATATCTGTCATTCATTTGATGTGCCTTGATGGTAGAAGTTCAGAAACCAGACACTGTGAACAATATGAACAAATAAACAATAAAATGTTTCCTACAGTAACCTAGATTCTTGTGTGCTTTATGTTGATATGTAATCATATTTAAAATAGGTGCAGCAATGCATGCACAAAGTATAGATATGGACAAGTGAAAAATGTATTCGGACAAGTACATTTCCAAACTCACTTGTCCATGGACAAGTACTCTCTAAAAACTTTTTCTCACACTGAACACTTACAGTGTCACATACTGTATGCAGAAGTATTATTTTAAGCAACACATTATGTTGACGAAACACTCGAGTCAAATGTAATTAAAGTCAGATCCACTCGTGTCTTAGACGTGAACGCGCTCTCAGCTGGTGAGAGAAACCCTGGCTTGATTTACCGAGTTGATAACCAGCGTCGTAGGACCGCTTAGCGAGATCTCGTTTGTTAGTTTGTTGTTGTTAGTTTGTTTGTTACTCAAACATATCCAGGGTCTGTTGAACTGGCTTCGTAGTGCAGGGCACAGGTGGCTGGCAGCGCTAATGTCAAAGACACAGACATTGCATTATATTTGTATTTTACCAGGATGCAGTGACACAAATATTTACATATACTATCTACAGCACCCGCCGCCCCTGACATCCCCCACTCCCCCCGTTGACAACTTACTAGCGGTACCGAAGTGGGCCGGTCGAGAGTCCCGGGATGATTTTTAGTCCCATTCCACCACTGGCTACATGACCGTATGATCGCCCATATTGACGCACCTAATTCCAAAACTTCTAACAGATACAACATAAACCGATCCTTCAGCCTCATATGAGCTCTCAGACACATTCAAAATGAAACTGTCTGAGCTGTCTGAGCTTGCTGCTGTGTGCACCATCGTGCATTTACATGCAGATGCTGGGATCCTGAACGGTGCAGCTGGAGCGCTGTGCCCGCAATGACGTCACACGTAATTTGGCGGGACTTGAAGAATCCCCGAGAAGATCCAGGAAATGGTCAACATTGAAGGGCAGATTAATGGTTATCAAAGTACAAATATCCAAAATCAGTTCAGTAACGGTTTTCAAGGGGACAATATTTACTCAAATTGATGGGTTTGGATGATGGGGGAAACTCGTGTCACAGGCTCTTTAACTCAGTGGCTGATTCCCTCTCTCGCTTCCACTTCCAGACATTCCGGAACCTCTGCCCAGGAGCCAGCGCTCAACCCGTCAGGATTCCTCCCCTGCATCTCCTCTCTCTCTTCTAAATAGAAGCCCCCTAGCAAGGCACCTCGAATCCGCCAGGTTTCTTATGAGGAAGGGCTTAGCCGCGTCCACCCTCAAAACATACGATTTCGCTTGGAGAACCTTCGCGTTATTTTGCTTTTCCGTAGGCATTACACTTAAACCTGTTCTCATCTCCACCGTGTGCGCCTTCATGTGCTACTGCGCCACTGATCGCCACCTCAAACCCCAATACATCCGGGGCCTCTTAGCAGGAGTTCAGTTTAATGTTCGCTGTTTCGATCCCGGCTTTCCCAGCCTGTTCGCAAACCAGTCAGTCAAACTCATTCCCAAAGGTCAATTGATTGATGTCATTTTTGTTGACACGGAGGGAGAACTCATTCTCAAAGGTCTTATTAAAACGTTTCCCCCCGTCTTAGACCGGAGACGTCCTATTACACTTTCCACTTTACGCCTTATGCTCTCCAAACTTAGAAGTGGGTTGTTGATGCTTTATTTCTCCTAGCTTTTTATGCTTTCCTCAGACCAGGTACATTTACCACAGCTTCTCTTATGTTCGATTTCAATCGAGACGTAAGCTTTTCTGACATATCCTTTCACGCCAGCCATTTTAGCTTATAATCTTAAGCACTCCAAATGCGGCGGCGCCTGCTCCGTCATCGCCACCCGCAACGACTCCCAGTTCTGCCCTTATAAATCCATGATCAAATTCCTACAGCTTAGACCTACCTTTAATCCTCTCTCACCATTATTTCTTATCTCAGGGAATGTTCCCTTAACTCAACGACAGTTCAATCACTATTTAAAGCAAGTTCTCATTAAATCCGGGTTATCACCCCTTCGATACACGGGGCATTCATTTAGAATAGGTGCAGCTACTTCCGCTGCTAATCAAGGCGTCTCATCCTCATCCCTGCAACAACTCAGACGGTGGTCCTCCTCCTTCTTTTGGGGGTTCATCGGAAACGGTTATTTCCCTTCCCGAATGATATCCTACGAAACCTGGGCCTAATCGCCAAACACCATTTCATTCACTTGTTATAAACTGTCATCATTATGTTTCATTTATATAATGTGACCGATAATAAAGATGTATTCCATACATCACGTCTCTCCTGATTGAAATGTTTGTAGCTTGAGAGATCTGGTGGTCATTTGACCTTAGATGATATCCCTTTTGTAATAGGCCTACTAAATAAATGAAGCTCCATCATGGATTGCCACAGTACAGATTACACATACAATAATTAGGGCTGTCAGTCGATTAAAATATTTAATCGCGATTAATCGCATGATTGTCCATAGTTAATCGCGATTAATTGCAAATGAATCGCACATTTTTTATCTGTTCTAAATGTTCCTTAGAGGAATATTTTTCAAGTTTTTAATACTCTTATCAACATATGAGTGGACAAATATGCTTTATGCTAATGTTTATTATCATTTGAACAATGACAAATATTCTCATGAATATTAAACACAACAACCTCTGAACATTACAAATATTCGCCTCAATTCAACCTGGAACCTCTCTCATACAATAATACAATACAATGTGTGTGTGTGTGTGTGTGTGTGTGTGTGTGTGTGTGTGTGTGTGTGTGTGTGTGTGTGTGTGTGTGTGTGTGTGTGTGTGTGTGTGTGTGTGTGTGTGTGATGGATCGTTAGAGCTATGTGCAACTCAAGGCATATGCTCCAACGGGAGCTGCCTGGACGCTGCAATCATGTTGCGTGCACTATCCTTGCTGAGTGTGCTGACTTTTCGTACAATGTCCCACTGTCTGGCATCCTGCATCAAGTCAAGTGCTCGGCGCAGTTGTGGCGAAATGTCGCTCCTCTGTTTTCATTGAAACAGCTCCTTATATCCGTTAGCGCAGCTAGCTAGCACCAGATGCTAACAACAACAATACACGTAAGGTCTCTCTCTCGCTCGCTCGGGCCACACATACACACACCCTCCCGGTCCTTCCGATGGCCAGTCGGTGCCTGCCGGTGAGCGTGGAAGTGTGGTCTGCTGCAAGCGGGCAGCAGGAGCGGGGCTGTCAGCATCAGCTTGTAGATGGTATTTTAAACTCGATGCGCTCTGAAACTACGGGGCGGCCGAGGAAAAAAATATACATGCGTTAATCGCTTTAAAATAATTAGTGGCGTTAATTATTTTTTGCATTAATGCATTATTAACGCGTTAACTTGACAGCCCTAACAATAATGTATGTTACCTGCAGCTCTCACCAGTACATTTGCAACTTTATTTGTTGTCTGCAAGTAATAAATGTATTATATAATCTTTTTCAGTTCTCTGGATTTGTGTCCACCTGCATGCATCACTGTGTAAAGCACATTCCCATCGAATATTGCTAATGTTATTATTCCCATTTTCTTTTTATCTGTTTCTTTTCCAGACATGTAGACGTTGAAACGGTTTTGCAGTGTCTACAAAACAGGGTCAAAGTGGAGTTAGTCAGAGCCAATCAAATAAATGCTTTCCGGGGGAAGAATTTGATTGTGCCTTTAGAGCCTTTTCCAGGACCGGTTTTGACCCGGAAAACAAAATTGAGTTGGAGAGGGTGCCGTTGATGAGCGGGGTCCGACAAGGGAATTTTGTACTCTCCTCATGATACAACTTCAGCATAACAGTATCTTCGAAGGTCCTGAGGAGAGTAGGACATTGGCCCTGGACAGTGTTGGTAAGTTAAGAAGTAAATAAAAAGCATTGTAATTTGTAGATTTGAAGATGCATAATATATGACCATCAAACATATATTATGGAAAATGTATTAATTAAACGTTTACCTTTTTAAATGTATACTGTGCCAAGAAATAGTAAGTTAACCCATAGTATCATCCTGCATTTTTGTATTATTAACACTGCATACTGTAATTGTGTGTCTTATTTTAGTGATGTTAGTTTTCATAGGTTTTTTTAAATATAAGATCAGGACACATTGTATGGATGAAAACATTGTATGGTCTAGGGCTGCTCAATTAATCATATTTTAATCGCGATTACGATTATGGCTTGCAACGATTGAGAAAACAATGTAATCGAAATAAAACGATTATTTTTTAATTATTATAATGTTTTTTCAGTTGAATTATACTTAAAGTTCAGGGTAATCAACTGTTAAAAACATACTGTTCCATTTTTTTCTCCAATAAATGGATGTTTTCAAAGTCAAGGAATAATCGCATTTAATAATCGCAATTACATTTATTGACCCAAATAATCGAGATTATGATTTTTGCAACACACTCTCACTCCCTAAGCGTCCAGGAGCAACGTTTGGTCAGTGCGTCCAGTTGTGACGCTCCTAGGCTCCTTCAGCGTCATAAAGGGACGCAAATAGCTTTCAACTGATTGCAATGTATTCCCATCTGCGGCGGGATTTGACGCTCATGGAAGCACGGCATTCGTTTGTGTCGGCTGCCCTTAAAGGCAATGTGAGCGTCCATTCCCATTGGATAACGGAGAATTGTACACCCGGAAGTAAGTATTCCTCTTACTGTCGATTGATTTTACAGTGATATCTGCACTACTCATCGACTAAAAAACACCAGATTATCCTTGTTAATTACACAACATTGATTGGTTTAAATTGTGTGCAATGCTTTTGTATTTTTCCCCTTCGATTCGGAGAAACAAATGTTTTTTCTGAGTAAAGGATGGCAGAAGACACTACACTACCCAGAATCCCCAGCTATCGTTTGGACTACACCATGTGCTGTGTTTGACAAACCCCGTGATAGTCCTCAAGCTCTGTGATTGGAGAGTGTGCTCCGAGGGTTACGCCGATTCTCGAACAGCACTTGAAATGGGATGGAACCATGCACGGCAGACTGTCCAAAACTGGATTTGAACGGGTCCACCGCGTCCCCCCCTCCCCCACCCCATCCCCAGAACTACACATGCTGGCTATTCTGTTTCGCAACATGTTCTCTATCTATGGCACGTCTCTACTGGGA